ATGTATTTATAACCATGTAAATCAACTTTCAGTGAAAAATAATTATCTTTTACATAGGTCATAGACATTTGCAGCATTTCATATAGTACATCTTTCTAAGTTTAGTTTCGCAAAATACCCATCCACTTTTACTGTAGGCGTGTGAAACAATAATATTAATAATAATATGAACAAATGGATAAATTTTGATTTTGTTAAACAATCGTGAAATCACTTATTTTGCTTATTATCAATGTTCGGGTGGTCTTAACTAATGAAAAGGGAGGCTTTAAATGTTGTTTTAAGAATAGTTCTGCTTTTTAAGGTTTTTTTTTTTTGCCCAAATGTTATATTCAAGTTTTGAGCAAATTCCTGTATGATTCCTATTGTGAACCACTATTGTTGTTCATGACATGTGTTGCTTTTCTGGATAGAGATCCTTCTCGATTCTGTTGTGTACTATTGCCTGGGGCATATTGGCAGCAATTACATCTTCATCGAACTGTTTCTGCCGAAGAGTGATCAATTTTCAGTGGCGTCACTCTACCTATAAAACACCAAATATTATCAAAATGTGGTTCTGATACATGGCATGCCACTGTGACTTTATGTTAGCTGTAGTTGTCACGTGACATTCTGATCCAGATATTTAATTTTTTTTAATATAATGTACTCAACTCTGTCTATCTTTTGAAAGGAGCATTTACAGACATGAGAACATATTAGGGAATCTTTTGAAATGAAATTACTAATAGCATAAAATAATGCTATACTTGTTGCTGATACTGAATAATATTGTAAGAAATGTTAGCACCACATAAGTTGATATCATTACTGTTATTTACGTTGAAAGTGATTTTAGAAAGGCATAGTGGAAGTTTGATGCTCATAAGGAGAAAAGGGGAGAAAGTATATTTGGAGAGGTTACATGATCTTCTGTTTAAATTCAGGTTTTTTGTACAATGTTGTGTGGGCGAAAGCTGGAATTTTCCTATTGCATAAAGTTTAGTGAGAGAGTATTTGGGTCTTTTCAATCTAATAATAATAATATGCACATATTTAATAGCTGGTACGTATTGAAATTTCATATATCTTAAAACTGAGTTAAATTGTAGTTTAGATTTAGTAGTTAAATAAATGCCGATATATATCCAATTTATGATATTTGCCAACAAGATTGATACACACAGTTTTCTTTGTTTTATACAGATATGTTTTGATATACAAACAATATTACTATTTGCAATAACAGTTATTACAAACAGCTACTACAAACAATGATTTATATACAAAAGTCCTACAAACTTACAAGCAATACAAAGTCTTCTTTCTAGTCTGGAACTTCCTTGATGTCTTATCGAGGGTTCACGATGAGCGAGTTAATTGCGAGTTGATGTAGGTACAATTCACTTAATAGAGAGCTAGCTAATTCTGTATTATTCGCCGATTTTTTCCATCGATGAAGTTAGGTATGTTTTCGTAAAAGTACTAATGTCAGTTGTGAATCAACTGAAGTTAAATGGTTTGTAATGTTCGAAATTTATAAATGTTCTTAATCAAATATCTTAAGTTTCCCAATGAATAAGCGTTATAACAATCACAGTTATAGCTTCTGAAGTTTAAAGCACACCAACTACAGTAAACCAGTAATAGATACTGGTTTTTTAGGCGCGTTTCGTTGGTTATAGTTATAGGTGTGCGGAGAGTTTCTCGAAATATCAGTTTTACGTAACAATACTGATGCTAACAATAGCGTTTACGGACACACAAGTATTTTTGATTCTTACACTCGAGA